CCGATATTTTTTTTGTATGGGGAGTGATTCAGTCTAATGTACATATATTTTAAGTTTCAATTTTTCACATATTCTGATTAATACCAAGGCACATAAATACAGGTAGAAGCCAAAATGACGTTGCTCTCATGAGAACCAAACCTTTAAACTTCAACTTGATTTTATTTTATTTCCTATATTTCGTTACGCTTAAAATGTCATGTCGTTTGTTTTTTTTTGAATGTTCGTTAAAAACAAATTTTAATTAAATTTGCATTTTTGTAGTGTTGTGCGGTTTATACTTAGTGTATGTGTTAAAAATGCAGCACCTGAAGCGTTGTTTTTTATGTGGTGTTAAATATAATGCAGACATCACTAATTTTTTTAACGTGCCTCAATGCCCTCGGCGTAAGGAGATTTCATAAATGCACCAGGAGGTACAGGAAAGGCACGTTTGATGCCAAGTGCTCTTCCTATGACCCTTATGCCGGAAAGTCCTTCCAACAACACTGCAACTCATAAATCAAGTTGTGAAAGCTTAATAAATGATCGCGCTTCACAAACTGAGTAAGCATTGTTAAAACGCGAATATTTATAGAAATATTTTTAATTTAAGGCGTTTAGTGGAGACTTAGAACAATCCAGCTACAAACTCGAAATTCTGTTGCTGAAGTCAAGAATTGAAAATCTGGAGGGTGAAAACTCAGCACTCAAGACAGAGTTGGAGAAAGCCAAACTTATTGAAAATGCATTACAGGGAATGTCGCAATCATTATTTGTGTTCCGTTGTTTTATTGATTGTCCAACGTTATGCCTAGTACATATATCGCTTTATACATACATTTGTATATTATACAAAATTAAAACAGGTACTATAAATATAAACTTTCAATGTATAAAAAAATAGAAAAGAACATATAAATTAACAAATTTTAACTAAAGAAAATAAATAAATAAATACAAAACTTCAAATTTACTTAAAAACGTCAACCAGCGAAATGTAATTTTTTTATTTTTCCTTACACACGCTCATTTTTATTTTTACTCTCCCGAAAACTTTGACTTTTGTAGGTTTGATGTCAATTTGGCTTCTACCTGTTTTTATTGTACCATGGATTAATACTATGTCTCCATTGAGAGATTTATCCATTAAGATTTAATAAATCCAGTTGCTAAATCACAACCGTTTCCATTACCATTACGAGATATGTTTGGCGTTCACATTTTTAAATATTTGACGTTTGCTTATGTATGATTTTACAAATACAGTTGCGGACATTGATATACAGACAGATAAAAGGAAGGTACCAAGCGGAATTTCATTATATGAATTCTGAATATTATTGGCTTCTTATTCGTGGTAAATATGTATGTATAATATATAGTTTGGAAAGTGTAAAGAATGGTACCATATTCCGAATCATTTTCCCGAATTTAAGAAAAATCAAAACGGTAAAAAACATTTGCGGAAAGAAAAATTTTTGTAGAACTCTCTTATTCATAGGAGGGAACCGAAAACCCAATCGTGGGCCTTTGGCATATCATGAATACGAACTGAGTTCTAGAGGATGTTCGGTGCAATGTTATCGAAGCAGAACCATTACCGAAATTTATAAATTTTTTGTCGCAGCGCGTAAATAACTTATAGAAAGCGGAGAAGACTCTGCATGATATTACTATAAGACATTTCTTCTAAATTTTTAGTTTTAAAAATAACATTTTCTTAATTTATTACAACCAAAGTTATGTAAATATGTATTACTAATTTTCCTCCCAAACTAACAAAAATATAAAATTACCTAAACATACGAGAATTCATGTTTTTATGATAGGCTAGATTTCAATGTCCTCAACTGTATATTGAAAACACAAATGTCATTTGACTTATGGCATGTGAATTTGTGGTTGCCACATCCAACAAATTGTAGTTATTGATCAATATTATTGAAGATTTGACGAAGGTTTAAGTTAAATCTACTACCTTTCGAGATTTAATTTTATATGATAAATCTCAAAAGATTTAACGTCAAATCTCGTCAGAGGGCTAAATCTTCATTAAATCTCACAATGGAGACATAGTATAACAATACATTTAATTTTTTTTATTTACAGCACGAAAAAAGCAAAATAGAAATAAGGGAGCCTACAATGGTGAGTGAATTGAATTATTGAAATAAAATATTGTTCGACGTGTTAAAAACAGGGGCCCAAAGTACTCGCTAAATACCTAGATCGTTATGTCTTGATTTTTATAGTTTCGATCATTTTTTGCTATAGTAAATTTTTAGATAACGGTTAGTTTATGGCCCAAAATATGAAAATCAAAAATAATGATTATCCTTAACCAAAAAACTAAATATCATAAATTTGATCGGACAAATATAAATCCAAATTAAACGATTAATTTATGATTTTTATTATAAAGAGCATAACCGTTACGGTCACTGGTTAAAATTTTAATGATAAAAGCTTTAACAGGTAATTGAAAGAACTTCAAAGTTTTTTTCCGATTCCATGGCATAATACATCACTCATATCAAGCCCTCTAGCTGCGCTATAAAAAAATTTATGCACAAAAAAGTGAACACCCTAACGTCCGCAATCTTATACAATACAAAAAAAAGAAGAAATTAACCAATATCGGTGAGTGGCAAACTTTTGCATATTTAATTTGTATAATTAAGGTGCCAA